TTTAGGGAATTTTTCCTAAAGTAACCCAAATCGCAAAAAAATTTTTTTTACTGAAACTGGTATCAATTTTCAGTTCAGGGAGAAATGTTTCTGATGCCTGAGTAAAGTGAGAAGCTGAGTTTTCAACAAAGGCAACTGTGGAACTTTTTGTCTTTTAGACCAAACCATTCTTTGGGACAGTGTGATCTCCGTTGTCATGACTTAAAAATCAAGATTTCACTATTACTCCAACCTAAAATGATAAGCTGCAGTTGACACTAACTAGACTCCTAAAAATAAAACAAGACAGGTAACAACCACTGTTCTTACATCAGCTATTCTGTCACCGTTTTTCATCCTGACTTGGAGAAAATTTGTGGGCAAAAGTTAGGATCCTAAAACAGTTAACATCCTCTGAGAGCAAGGCATGAAGAAAGAGAATCACAGCTGATAGGAGTAGACCATCTGAGGAGCCCCACTAACAGGGTAAGTGCCAAAAACCTAGAGTAGGGATCCCCAGCAACACTTTCCCTCCTTCCACAGGCAAGGCAACATCATCGTACAAACGGGGAAGCAGGAGACTTGGGTTCTACTTCTGAGTCTGCCACGAGTCAGCAATATGTCACTTCCCTTCTCTGAGCCTAGGTTTCTCTTTCAGTTAAATGCGAGGGCTGGGCTAAACGATCTCTGGTCCCTTCCCACTATAAAAATGTTACCATTCTGTCTTTCCTTCCAAGGCCTCAAAAATATTTTGGTTGCTGGTAAAAAAAAAAACTTAAAAAATAAAGAATGCTCAAAATGTCACATTTATTTTTATAACATGTTCTCAGTGCCAGCCTTTAGTATGTGTATGTATAATCCACACAACCAGCAGGAGTATTCATCCCATATATAATTTACCCAGTAAATATTTAATTTAAATATTTAACACCGTCAAGTTTGTTAAACTAAAAAAAAAAAAATCACGGAAAGATTTCCCAAGAACGAAAGCTTATCAGTAAAAGCACACTATTAAATCTCAACACAATGACAGACTTTTAGAGTTGGAAGGGTTCTGAGTGTAATCTCCTCAATTTAAAGATGAGGAAATGAAATGACTCATAGCCCAGGCTTTTTTCTACTATACCACACTTCCTCCTCCTTTCCTGCTTTATCAAAAGACAGCATGGTAGCAAAAAGAACAGTAGACTATGAAAGTGATCTGGATTCTAGTCCTAACTCTGCCATTAATTTGCTGTGGCACCTTGGACAAGTCACTTTCTCTCTCCAGGCTATGGTTTTCACAACATTTTATATGAAGGAGTTTAACTAGATGTCCCTTCTAGTTGTAACATGATATGATCTAATAAAACTCCTATTTGACAAAACAAAAGACATATTCCTGAAGGAGAAAAGTGGGACTTTCTAGACAAGAGAACTGAAAAGTTTGGGCTGCTGGTTTTAAATAGATGCATCGGTTCAATTCAATAAGCTGGTCCTAAAGCATTTTATTCCAGAATCTCTTAAGAGGAGGATACCCTCTACATACACATACACACACACACACAGCTACGATGTACTAGAAAAAAATACTGGACTAGGAGTATGAAGAACTGGTTTCAAATCCCAGCTCTATAGCTTAGAAGCTGTGTCTCCTAGGCCAATTCATTAACTTGTTTGAGCCCAAGGTTCCTCATATGTAAAAAGAGAGGTAAGAATAAGGAAACCTGACCTAAAATATCAATCAAAATAAAGCATTATAAATGTGGTGTATACTGCAAAGCTGGGCAAGTGGAGACGATCTGCCACTGTGGAAAAGTAGGCTGCACTGGAATCAAAAGCCTTTCCATTAAAAACTGGGCTGATTTTTAACTTACTAAATTTGCTTTCAAAGAGTAGAATGACAAAACTGAAGACACCATTGGAGGGGAAATCGAAGAAATAAGTCAATTTTAGGAAATGGATTGTGTATTTGGATTCTCCTAATTAAGAAAACACACCAGATAATTCTCAACTGCCTACTCAGTTTACTACAATTTGGTGAAATGATCTGTGTAGTCGAGAAAACACAATAGCAAGAGACATTTCTTAAAGTGCCCAAATTCAGTGTGTTAATCTCTTGGAGATTGTATGGTGTGCCCACTCCAGTTCGTATCAAGGGACAGAAGGTATTTCTGATGACCAGATATCCAGTGACACCATCTGTTTCCACAAATCAAGACTTCTCACTGCAATTCTAGGTTGTTAGTTACCCAGCCAAGTCTCCTCAGGGTACTTTATGCAAATGACAAAACTTCTCACAAAGGAGAGGGAAAAGGTTAATGATGCCAACCTTCTGCTGTCCTCCCAGTACTGCTAGTTCTTTTCAGATGCAATTCTCCAGATGAGTCTAATTCTCTTCCAAATCCCCTCACTGATACAGGATGGAGTCGTGAAATTCAGACTGACAGGACAGTTTTACCCACACAGCTCAACAAGCTGAAGATTTGGGCAGGTCCGAGTTAAAATTAGAATGCTGGGTCCCAAGAGACGTTGTTACTTTTCATCAAGTACCAAAGGATCACAGTGCTTGAGAAGCTATATTATGCCACGAGGGAAGAAGTGACTCTATCAATCCTATCCAAATGACTCATTCAGTTTAGATAAGTTAAATAGCTCCAAGTTCTGCATACTGCCTCCCAAAGTAAGCACTGTGTGAAGTTAAATTTGCTAATTCCGAGAAAGGAAGTAGAAAGGAATGAACATGTGAGTTCTTTCTCTGTGCCAGGTAATGGACTAGGCAGTTAACATAGGTCCTGATATAACTGTCCTTAAAAATTAAATTTGCTTTATTCATTGAAAAGTAACAATATTCACATAGTTCTAGATTGATTAAAATCATATACATGGATAGTTATTTCCCTCCCCTTCTCCACATACACACACACAAAAGTACTAAATGATCAGGTGTCTCATTTAACCAAAATTGACAGTTCATTACTTTGAGGGGAAAACCACAACAAGAAAATTTAATTTCAAGGGACTCCAAAGTATTTGGAAATCCAAATGTATTTTCTCTCCTCTACAATCTAGCTATGAACTTCTTTCAGATACTGAACTTGAAGGAGATTCACTGCCATCTCAGGATCGGCCATTGTCACTCAAAAACCCCACAACAGTGACATGAAGGTTGGTGGAAACACACGCACGTCAACGATCTACCAACATATATTTCTTTCTGATTTTGTTGCTGCAACTTTTTTGGTACATGTCACATATAATATATATTAGGTTTTACAATGACTTCTAGAATGTACAGATAACTTTATTTGCATCAAACGAGGTATTTCTTCGACGTGGTAAGCTTGAAAATTGAAGGCGGCTGACTCCTGGAACCATATTAGGACTTGCATTAACATACAGATTTCACCAATCCTCAAGTTCTTATAGCATGACAACATATTTCACTGCCTCTAGTTCCAGAGAAGTCCGTAGAAGAGTTCGATGAAATCGCTTTTAACATTATTCCAACTTTGAAAAGTGGAGGAGTGGGTAAGTAGAAGTCTCAGTCAAGCGAAGCCTTCCAACTACGCTACTTCCTACTCAGAATCTCCCCGATTAATCACCACTAAAACATCTTGCAGAATTAGATAAAGCGCACAAAGCTGTGGCTCTCCTTCCAACCACCAGATTACTCAGCACTTGTTTGTATCTCTGTAGTCGGTTGTGTACATTTATGTCCGGCTACCTTTTTAAGACCGCGTTCTTCCTAATGGTAAAGAACCTCGTCTGCGATTTCCTTTGCCTAGCGCTAAGGTGCTATTTTAATAAAACATCAGCTAGAGGACTTTCCTAAGTAAACACCCAACCTTTCTCCCGCTCCTCTTCTTTCTGTGCAACGAAAAGGACGGACGGCCAACAGGGAGAGTTACAGCTCCCTCTGAAACGAACAGGTAAGTTAGCGGCAAAAGAAAGAGATGGTAAATGTGATTTCTCCTGCTACTGCTCCTTTCAGCTATGGTACCCAAGGCCAAAACGGATGTTTCAAAGGTAAGCTCTGAACCCCACAAACACAAATAGCCGGCTCTCAGGCACGTAAGGTGTCCCACACCTCGCAGAAAGCTAGGCAAGACGAGAAAGGGGCTGCGAGAGCGCCCCTAGGCCATTCACCAGGGAAAGGAGGGGCCTTGCTCGAATTGGGCGACTCCCCCTCCCCCGACTCCCTCTGAAGTGCCCGAGGAGCAGCGGTGGCGGACCCGGCGGGACCAGGGAGGGGGGTGGGGGAAGGCACAGGGGAAGCCGGAGGACCGGGACGCCCGGCTCCTGGGCCAGAGCTACACTTACTTACCCCACAGGGTAGCCACCCCCTAGGTGCACATCTTCAGGGGCATCAAAGAATTCCTCGGTGTCGCTTTCCGACGCCATTTATAGGACACACCCGCGGGTGAGGGGGCCGGCGTCGCCTGGAGAGAGGGTGACTCTGGTCTCCTCCTCGTCGTCCCCCACACCAGCGAGACCGCGGGGAGGGGGGGTGCCTGGCGAGGACGAGGAGGGGGCAGACGATCTGAGTGAGGAGCCGGTGAGGGGCAGGGGACCGCCGTCAGCTGCCGGGCTGTGAGAACCACCGGCAGAGCGGCCGCCTGAGGAGGCAGCGGCGGCTCCGGGGACTGTTGCTGCCGCCGCTCCCGGCGATAGGTGTATAAGGAGAGCGAGAGGAGAGGCGGCGGCTCTCCTCGAGGGTGAGGGCGGGCGCGCCGACGACAGCAGCTCCGATTTCTCCCGCAGCAGCAATTACAGCAGCTGGGAGAGCCAGTTGCCCGCAAAATACGGACCCGCACCTATCCTCGCGAGATTTCGGGAGGGGACGGGAAAGCGTGGGCGGGGCGAAGAGGAGGCGGGGGCGGTTCCAGAGAGGCAGTGTTCCGATTTCCTCTACTCGAGAAGCCTATCAAAACGGCGCAAGCGCGTTGAGGGCATTCGGTGAGGGCCGGAAGCAGCCGGGAAGGGTGGGGACAAGCCTCCTGGAGGGAGGAGTCTAGGACCTGCGCAGGGGCGGCGGGCTGCCCGGGCTCCCGGGGAGCGCTGCCGACGTCGGCTGGGTCCGGCAGGGCGCCTCCCACCGAGCTCTGCGGTTCCAAAGAGAGGCGTTTTCAGAGGGGTGATTTTAAGTCTGCTTTTCACTTGCGAGGAAGTGCTATTAGAAAACGTGTGCTTTGCCTTTACGTCGTCTTCATTTATTCCAGCCCGGAATATCCCACTCCAGGGCGTGGGCAGGTCCACACCTCTAGCGTCCCCGGAATAGACCGCCCTATTTATTACAAGATCTCTAGTTGAGATCCCTAAATACGATCCTGCCGGCCAGAGGGTGGGGTCCATGACGGATAAGTGGGGAGTATTCCAGTTCCATGAAGTAATAATGGGTTTATTGCTGGAGCTGAGCCAGTATAGGGCCTCCGGTTACATTTTCTCTACAAATATCTGTTGCCCACGCTTAATGTGAGAGAAATTCGTACATGCTATGCTGGCCAAGATGTGCATCAGTCAGGTGGTAAATATATATTGAGCAGCCACCGTTGCAAGGCTAAGAGCTAGTAACTTAATTTGGATCCTCAACTGCCCGAAATCCAGTGGTGAAAATAGAAAGGTACTTTTTAAGAGACCAAGATGTTCTTTCTTAAATAACGGGTCGTTAAGCATGAAAGTGATAACACTGACTTTCTGTATGATGGCAAAGCACATTTATTTTTCCCACTGATGTCATGACAGGCAAGCTCTGTGAGCTGTTTGCGCAGCCTCAACTATTGCTCGAAATGGCGGTGGAAAAGAATGATGGGGACCAGGGGCATGGCCTCAGAAAGGCTGGAATGGGAGTCTAGATTCCTCCTTGTAAAGCGACGAGGAAAAGATCTGGTATTGTCTGGTGGACTTGTGTAGAACCAATGCCGTATACTGTATCTTCTGTAACATCCGAGGGAGTTCAGAGAAAGCACTGCATAATCAAATACGGTAATATTTTTGCAGCGAACCATATGATTTTTCATACGGCGTAAATAAATATCAGTAAATAGTCTCATTTCAGTTCAGGTCAGATACTACTGACAAATAAGTTTAGGTTAGATCAATTTGACTGTCAAATAAGCTACTTAAAAAAACCCCCAAAATTCTTGCTTTCCAGAGCTTTTTGAATTTCAGAATTGCAAACAAGAGATTTCTGGATCCTTGTGAGGATATGACTTTTGTCATAATCCAGTAATTATTAACTTTTATATGTTTTCAACATGTTAATTTTCTTTTCTTTTTTTTTTTTTAAAGATTTTATTTTTTCCTTTTTCTCCCCAAAGCCCCCCGGTACATAGTTTTGTATTCTTCGTTGTGGGTTCTTCTAGTTGTGGTATGTGGGACGCTGCCTCAGCGTGGTCTGATGAGCAGTGCCATGTCCGCACCCAGGATTCGAACTAACGAAACACTGGGCCGCCTGCAGCAGAGCGCGCGAGCTTAACCACTCGGCCACGGGGCCAGCCCCTCAACATGTTAATTTTCTAGACATAAAAGTGTATCACCAAGTACTAACTTTTTATTTTGTTGCTCACTGGGAAAGATACGCTTTTTTCCTTATGTTATGGGAAGATATAAGTAAACAAATTACCTGAATTTATTCTCTTCTTAGTTATCTAATAGTGAATTTATGTTTGCCTTAAAAATTAAAGTTTGGTGTCATGTACTGTTCTAGGTGCTGAGGACAATTCAAAGATGAAGAGGACAACTTAGTTCCTGTCTTCCAGGAGCTCACAATCTGCCAATGGAGACAAATATGGAGTCCTAGTTTGATGCTTTTTTTCATTATACCATACCCCTCTCTTGGACCTTTTAAGGTACTTTAAACATTGTACTTAGAAAAAGTCAAAATGGAATAGAAATGATAAGCTAACATTTTTAGAGCTACTAAAGTTGTTTATTTAAATGCTTTTATCAATTGTGTGAGAAAGTGAATTTCTGGGAATGTCAAAACACATGCCTACCACCTATCATCTTTCTTTCTTTCTTTTTTTGGTGAGGAAGATTGGCCCTAAGCTAACATTTATTGCCTATCTTCCTCTTTTTTTTTTTTTTTTTTTTGCCTGAAGAAGATTGTCACTGAGTTAACATCTATGCCAATCTTCCTCTATTTTGTATATGGGACACTGCCTCAGCATGGCTTGATGAGTGGTGTGTAGGTCCATGCCAGGATCCGAACCAGTGAACCCCAGGCCACTGAAGCAGAGTGTATGATCTTAACCACTATGCCACAGGGCTGGCCCTATCATCGTTTTTTAAAGATGTCAAAGATGTTTGTTTTGCTTGGAACATCTGTTCTTGAGTTTTAAAGCAGCAGCTTTTAGGTTTAGTCCAAGGCAGTGATTTTGAAGCTTTTCTCCTTATTAGAAATGGAACCCTTTAAACAAACCTAATTTCATGCAAAAGTTCACATATCATAAAAATAAAAACTGCTCTGTTTGAAGCAGGGATAGCTCAGGTCTCTGCCTGTTTGGCCTTCCCTGAGTCTCCAGAGACTGCACCAAGGCTCCATAAAAAAAAAAATTTGAAAACTATTGGTCCAAAGCAAGGGTTGGCAAATTATGGTACACTGGATAAATCTGTCTTGCTGTCTGTTTTTGCAAATAAAGTTTTATTGGAACACAGGCAGGCCTATTGGTTTATGTATTGTATATGTCTGCTTTCAGGGTAGAGTTGAGTAGTTGGGACAAAGACTGTATGGCTCACGAAGCCTAAAATATTTACCATCAGGCTCTTTACAGAAAAATTTTGCCAACCCTTGGTCCAAAGGATACTATTTCTAGAGGACCCTAGAACTGAAAGTACACTCAAATTAAATGGTCATTTAAATCAGTTTCACAAACAGAATTGTATAATGCAGCAAAATCATATGTATAGATGAAAAGGAGGATAAAACCTTTTCCCACGTGGCTCATTTCTAATAATTTTAAAAACTACGCAGGTCTAAGGCTAAGGTGAGTTTAAGGAAACTTTTTACGCTTCCTTACCTGCCTAGCATAAACTCTACTTAGAAATTCCGAATGCTAGGGGCCAACCCTGTGGCCAATGGTTAAGTTTGCGTGCTCCGCCTCAGCGGCCCAGAGTTTCACTGGTTTGGATCCTGAGTGTGGACATGGCACTGCTCATCAGGCCATGTTGAGGCAGCGTCCCCCATGCCACAACTAGAAGGACCCACAACTAAGATATACAACTATGTACTAGGGGGATTTGGGGAGAAAAAGCAATTAAAAAAAAAGATTGGCAACACTTGTTAGCTCAGGTGCCAATATTAAAAAAAAAAAAAGAAATTTCAAAGGCTAGAGGTCACAGCCACTGTATGGAACAGCTTGTCTGTGGGATACTTGCTCTTTCCTCTTGGCAAGAGTAATACAAACTGGCAGTATCCTTGGGATGAGTTTTGCTCCAACCCCAAGTGTAACCACTTGTAATGCATGTAGGCTTTTGTTACAAACAAGAGTTAATGTGATAACTCAGGGAAAAACTTTTTTTTAAATTAATTAATTAATTAATTAATTAATTTTTATTTTTATAGCAGTAACATTGGATTATAACATTATATAACTTTCAGATGTACATCATAATGTATTTCGAATTCTGTGTAGATTACATCATGTTCACCACCCAAAGACTGATTACAATCCATCCCCACACACATGTGCCTAATCACCTCTTTTGCCCTCCTCCCTCCCCCCTTCCCCTCGGGTAACCACCAGTCCAATCTCTGTTGCTTTGTGTTTGTTTATCATTGTTTTTATCTTCTACTTATGAGTGAGATCATATTGTATTTGACTTTTTCCCTCTAACTTATTTCACTTAACATAATACCCTCAAGGTCCATCCATGTTGTCACAAATGGCCGGATTTCATCATTTCTTATGGCTGAGTAGTATTCCATTGTGCATATATACCACATCTTCTTTATCCATTCGTCCCTTGCTGGGCACCTAGGTTGCTTCCAAGTCTTAGCTATTGTGAATAATGCTGCAATGAACATAGGGGTGCATGATCTTTATGCATTTGTGTTTTCACGATCTTTGGATAAATACCCAGCAGTGGAATAGCTGGATTGCATGGTAGATCTATTTTTAATTTTCTGAGGAAACTCCATACTGTTTTCCATAGTGGCTGCACCAGTTTGCACTCTCACCAGCAGTGTACAAGGGTTCCCTTCTCTCCACATCCTCTCCACCACTTGTTATTTCCTGTCTTGTTAATTATAGCCATTCTGATCGGAGTGAGATATCTCATTGTAGTTTTGATTTGCTTTTCCGTGTTAATGATGTTGAATATGTTTTCATGTACCTGTTGGCCATCTGTATATCTTCTTTGGAGAAATCTCTGTTCAGACCTTTTGCCCATTTTTTAATTGAGTTGTTGGTTTTTTGTTGTTGAGCTGTATGAGTTTTTTGTATATTTTGGATATTAACCCCTTATCTGATATATGGTTTGCAAATATCTTCTCCCAATTGTTAGGCTGTCTTTTCGTTTCGTTGATGGTTTCCTTTGCTGTGCAGAAGCTTTTTAGTTTGCTGTAGTCCCATTTGTTTATTTTTTCTTTTGTTTCCCTTGCCCGGTCAGACACAGTACTTGAAAATATGCTGCTAAGACTGATGTCAAAGAGCATGCTGCCTTTATTTTCTTCTAGAAGTTTCCTGGTTTCAGGTCTTACATTCAAGTCTTTAATCCATTTTGAGTTGATGTTTGTGCACGGTGTAAGATGATGGTCTGCTTTTATTCTTTTGCATGTGGCTGTCCAGTTTAGGGAAAAACTTTTTATGTACAGGGTTAGATGATTTGAAGATACAATATGGACATGAAAAGATGTAATATTGCAATCTCTGGGAGAGTTTTTATGGATTTTGAAGTATCAGAATTCATGAAAAGATCGTTCTGAAACTGGCCAAAATTTCTCAGGGTCAAGATAAAATTCTATAATCATCAGTCCTTAATTATCTGTTTGAAAGGTTAGTCATGTTACAGATTATAATAGTAAATATTCAAAAAATCATTTCTATTTGGCTTTGGAATCTTTATATCTTTTCCAAATCCACCCCATCTTGTTAATAATGGTTTATGTTAACGTTAAAATGAATTATCAATCTCTGAGCACGCAAGAACTGAAAGTAGAGAAAGATTGTCTAGAAATGTGTGAAGAGACACAGAAAAGCCAGCCTGGGATTTAAAGTATGTAACAGAATATTATATAGCCATATATTACTGTTCAGAACTCTGGAATAAAGCTAGCTGGAATCATCGTAAACAACAACAACAAAAAGGAATTTATTTGCTTGCATAATCAAATACAGACTGCTATAACACTTGTCTGTTCCTTTGTGATTAATAGATTAGAGAACAATTTGAGCATCCAGTGAATTTTACGTTTGCTTATGTGTGATTTTGTCAGCCAGAAACATTAGGTGAAAGCAGAAGATTATACCCAGCTGAATCAAGTTGCATAGGAATACGTAAAATACACACACATACCCTAAACACCTGCCAGCTACCTCATTTCCTTTTGTGCGTTTGAGTCACACTCCTGCACGTCTAGTGTTACAACGTTCCATCTGATTTCAGATAACCCTCCTTCCACCACTTCACAATAACTCCCAACCTGTAACCTCTGTGATACCCATTTCCTTAAGCAAACTTCAGATCTTTTTCAAAATAAAGCACCATATTTATTATAGTATTTGTGTGTTCCTTAACCATTTAACATGTGTGAAACTGTGCTACCATTTTTTTTTATTGAGTTAATGATAGGTTACAATCTTGTGAAATTTCAGTTGTACATTAATGTTTGTCATTTGCGTTGCAGGTGCACCATTTCACACTTTGTGCCCACCCCCCACCCCACCTTTCCGCTGGTAGCCACTAATCTGTTCTCTTTGTCCACATTTTTAAATTCCTCATATGAGTGGAGTCATACAGAGATTGTCCTTCTCTAACTGGCTTATTTCACTTAACATAATTCCCTCAAGGTCAGTCCATGTTGTTGCAAATGGAATGATTTTGTTCTGTTTTGCAGCTGAGTAGTATTCCATTGCATATATATACCACAACTTCTTTATCCATTCATCTGTTGATGGGTACTTAGGTTGCTTCCCTGTCTTGACTATTGTACATAATGCTGCAATGAACATTGGGGTGCATAGGACTTTTGGAATTCCTGACTTCAAGCTCTTTGGATAGATACCCAGTAGTGGAATGGCTGGATCATATGGTAGTTCTATTTTTAATTTTTTGAGGAATCTCCATACTGTTTTCCACAGTGGCTGTGCTAGTTTGCATTCCCACCAGCAGTGTATGAGGGTTCCATTCTCTCCACAACCTCTCCAACATTTGTTACTTTTAGATTTAGATATTTTTGTCATTCTAATGGGTGTAAGGTGATATCTTAGTGTAGTTTTGATTTGCATTTCCCTGATGATCAGCGATGATGAGCATCTTTTCATGTGCCTATTGGCCATCCGTATATCTTCTTTGGAGAAATGTCTGTTCATGTCTCCAGCCCATTTTTTGATTGGGTTGTTTGATTTTTTGTTGTTGAGTTGTGAGAGTTCTTTATATATAATGGATATTAAGCCTTTGTCAGATATATGACTTGCAAATATTTTTTCCCAGTTAGTGGGTTGTTTTTTTGTTTCAATCCTGTTTTCATTTGCCTTGAAGAAGCTCTTTAGTCTGATCAAGCCCCATTTGTTTATTCTTTCTATTGTTTCCCTTCTCTGAGAAGACATGGTGTCCAAAAAGGTCCTTTAATACTGATGTCAAAGAGTGTACTGCCTACATTTTCTTCTAGAAGCCTTATGGTTTCAGG